ATAACTCAAAATTAAATTTTCCAATATGATAATGCAAAAAATTTTAAAAACTAAAATTTACATAGTATTTAAAATAAATCTTTTATCGATACTTTCTGTATATCAAAAGATTACATAAATCTACGAGGTGCTACTATAAGGATCATCAAACTATGATAATTATTTTAATCTAACTTTGAGTATACCAGTGGACAAATATTGAAAAAGTTTTATTATGAATCAAGATAATTATTATTCTTAATATTGAGAGGTTATCATGCTTCAGGGCATTACATTACCACAATCTGGTGGTTCTCCAAATTTGCTTTATGGATGCTTGTCATCAAGTCAAAATCAAATTATGTATCCTGTATTTATGTGCAAAGCATGCTCACACGTAAAATACATTGTGTTTTATTTTCTTAGAAAACTTCCTTTACCAAATTGAACAAAAGTATTAATAATAATGAACAAACTACATATGCCTATAGCATTCACTATTCAATGGTATATGTTAGTGATTTAAAATTGTAACTATCTCATGAACAAGTAATAAATCTACAAAAAGTAGTGTAGTGAATATCGCCTGTGCAATCACTTCTTACTCAATGAAAGTAATCAAAAGAGTATTTTTAAATCTCTCTCTCTCCCTCTCTCTCTCTCTCTCTCGCTCCCTCTACTTCTTTCTGTTTCTTTCACGCACTTTTCTCTCATATTTGCTTTCTCTCTTTCTCCACAGTCATTCTCACTCTAATTCTCATTCTTGCTCTCACTTTTTCTGTAAAATGTATGAAATATTTGTAATCTAAAATTTTCTTTTATTACACAAACGATGCAACGATAAAAATTTAGTGGAGAAGATTCGCATCATTTTTGCGCTTGTACTGTTTCTTTAGGATTCTTTGTATTCAGTTGAATGATCATATATGCTTATGTCATAAATCACAAGTACGTAACGCAAACCATCTAATCACGTTTTACTAAACAATATCAAGTGTAACCATTCAAAGCAGTAATATAGTTTCAATCACATATGACACGTTATTAGATACAAGCATGATAAAAAGCACAGGCATGTTCACATATATACGGTTACATAGTGAGACAGAAAACGAAAGTGAGCTAAATTATCTCACAATTATCATAGAAAACACATTATATGTAAAATATATGCACATACATATACATGTGTTCATGCTTAAATTTTCTCTGCATATGACTTTCATATACAAAGAATGAAAAGGAATATATGTATATATATGTGTACTGTATACATATATATGCGCATATACATATACAACATATATGTACATTAAACTTAACTCTAACTTGAATTCGATATTTATGCACCCTCAAGCATATTTTGAGATCCACCATTTCTCTCAAAAAAATCAATCAACTCTACAGTTACTTGAATATACTTATACTTTACGACAATTTACTTCAATCTTGCGAATGCATTAAAACAAAAGAATAAATAATGAAAATATCATGATATAAGCCAAGCTGATGGCATTATATATGTATATATATATTCATTAAAATATTATATACATATGCACACATATATGTATACGTACAAGTAAATATACATATGCGTGTGAGTGTGTGTGATAAAACCATAATATATCTTAATGACTTTATATTCTCGATAAAATGATTTACATCTTGATCAAGTGCGAATGTGTATACAGGATTTTATACGGGAGTAATATTTGCTTGATAATAGAAAACGTTCACGAATAAAGAATACAAAGATAACGATAACAGTGAACAAAACGTTTTACGAGTAATACTGGTCGTTGTCACAAATGGTCCTCTATACACATCCAACTTTGCTTGGTGTGCTGGTTAAACTTTATTATTTAAGCCAAGTGTGTCAATCAGAGCCAACCAACACCCCACGAATAAGATAGCACCTGATCTTCACATAGCACCACTAACTGGTAAGTAAGTACCATGTACCCTGAGGACAGTTAATGACGGGTACATTATTTAGTTGTATCATATCACATGCGACTGACATCATCACAGCTGCTGATGGCACCCCGTGCTTTTACCGCGGCCAGATTAGAAGAACCATGCCAAGTTAGTTTTCTAAGTAATAAATGTACGCGAGTAGGCAGGAGCCGTTATTTTCACTTGACAATGTGCGTATGTAGGTAAAATAGTTTATGTGGACATTCTTTCTACCAAAAATTGAGTTTAAGTCAACCCTGATGGCATTCGAACACCACAGACTAGACAACCCGCACTAGAGTTCTATTGTTTTATTTTAAAGTTTAATGGTTTCAAATCAATTTTAACGAAATAGATTTTTCAACAGTTTTGACAGTGTGAGGGGGGGGGGGGGGGGGGGGCGG